GTCAAGTACCCCGCACTATACATTAAGTAGACAGTATGCTAAGTTTACATTCAGATTTTGACTGGGCGTGTATTAATTGTCGCATCCGGGTGCTTAGTAGTGAAATTGTTCAAAAAGAGACAAACGTTGCAATTGTATAATAATACTAGCTGTACCCGTCCGCTTCGCTGGGCATTTAAAATTAACATTATTATTTCTCACCCCCACAAAGATTCTCATCATTAACGCCCCCGCAACTGGTTTAGGGAGTCCAACGCATATAAATATTAGCCTATCCATTAAGTACATGTATTTTCTACATGGATACCAAGTTTCAAGTAAATTGGATGCATGCTTCAGTAGTTATAACGGAACATCCGTAAAAACCGTATATATTAGTATAGATATTGATAGCATATAGATGCGATAGAGAGAAACAAAAGTGGCAAGCAGACTTTGCTCTACCCTGATAAAAGTTATTAATCTAGGAGACGTGTGTCGTGTTAATTTGTAAAGGTAAATATAAATTTACATAATTAATCATTCATCAGTCGCTACGTAAATGTTAACAGGTTTTTTTCGGCTTAGGGGCCGACCCTTCTGCGAGGTCCCCACGCTTGGGGACAGGCCGTGCGCGGGAATGTGGGACTGGACGGTTCGCAGATATTGGGAGCGAACCGTGGGCCCAAGTGTGAATTTAAGGGCCCTACCCAACTAAACCTCAACAGGGTTGCCACTCCGGTATATAAATTAAAATTATTTGCTGGGAATTACATACCCGATCCTGTAGACCATATTATGGTAAACACTCGACGTCGCCCAAAATACGTCATTACGGATCCGTCCGATCCATTAACAAGCACCGGTCACCATCCTCGTCGAACCCGTCGCTTGCGACGAAGGGCTCGACGAGCGAATTAACCCATAGACACAGCCTACTGAGTATCTCGCCGGATCTTCTCAGTGGGTCGCGTTTCCGATCCGGTGGTAAATTCTGCGAAGCACTTTTCTTGCTAAGGCCAGTGTTAGCAATACTCCGTTTTGAGCCCCGTGAACTCACCTACATGTTAGGGCGAAGCTGAAATAACCTCTCAAGGCTATCATAAGGCGCAAGGCTCAAGGCATAGGTAGAAAAAAAGATTGCTTATCAACATACATAATTACGTTATTCAATAAAGCTACCCTTGAGATGATATGTACCTTCTATGTATTTTCGTAACAGTTTCAAAAGTATTCGGTTGCTGTATTAATATTTACTTGAAGTTAGAAAATACTGATAATATTAATACTTTAAACAAAGATTACATACTGTACACGCACAACATTGTTCACTTTAAGTACAATCATACGCAAAATGAAATTATCACGGAGGGCTTGCTTATGTTGGTAGGAATGGAACTCAAACATTAATCATATAATAAAGCTGTTGCCAACATCAAAATACAAAACAAAGGTTTTACGATAGCGTGTATTAGGTGATGAACTGTTTAGAATGATAGAAATTGGGGTGTTTTGTTTGAACCTTATCGCGTCAGATTAGAGTTTAAATTGATAAGATCACGCTTACATCGTCACAATGATCGCAGAATGAGGATTATTTTGCTTTAAATTGTCAGTATGGTTTCACTATGCAAATGAGGTGGTGTAAAATATACAATTAGAAACAGCGTACTCTTACATTTGAAATACGCTAATAAATAAAGCTGCTATTTACAACAATTCCGGTGTTCGAATCTCGCAAAAACAATGGATTATCTTAATTACTACACAATTAAGACCTAAAGATGGACAGTATTCAAAACGTGATAACTGTAGGGTACGGTAACCACTTAACGCCAAATAAACCGTGATCTCGTTCACAAATGTTCACGATTGACTTCCACGGTGAAAGAATAACATCGTGTAATAAAAATCAAACCCGCAAAATCATAATTTGCGTAATTACTGATGGTAGGACCTCTTGTCCCCGCGGGTAGGTACCACCACCCCGCCTATTTCTGCTGTGAAGCAGTAATGGGTTTAAATTTGAAGGGTGGGGCAGCCGTTGTAACTATAATTGAGACCTCAGAATTTATATCTCAAGGTGGGTGGGGCAGTTACGTCGCAGATGTCTATGGGCTCCAGTAACCACGCCAGGGGGGCTGTGAGCTCGTCCACATATGTAAGCAAAAAAAAAACGCGTCCTGATAAAAAAAAATGCCGCTATCCACTTTATGATATAAATACTCTATTATATACCACAGCGACTGCCCCACCCTTCAAAACAGAGCCCCTTTTTCTTCACGGCTCACATTACGTCCTACCTCCATTTAATGCCTCCAAGCGAGTCCATGCTAAGTGCAGAGACCTCGATCTCTATTGGATCCCTCAACTACAACTAGCGATCCTTTGGAGGATTTTACTAGGTAGACCGACGCTCCAAAGGAACTTGTATGCAAACTTATCATGCAAACATCGTAGGCTTGAACCAGGCTAACGACAGTCGAAGGCAGAGAAAAAAACCGGGAACAAATCACGCACGGTCATCCGGCCCCAAATTAGGATTCCTTGTGTTATGGATCCCAGAGACTGCGATACATACAAATATATAATGATATGGAGTAGAGAGAGAGAGGGAGAAAAAATACACTTTATTACACACCAACACACAATTTACATTCAAAAACAGTCAAAAAGCTGATAAATTTGTATAATTGGCGGTCTTATCTCTAAAAACAACTTTTAAATCCTATTAAAGATATTAAAAACCAATACCAAGAGCAAACACAAACAAACCTGTTCATCAGACGAATGTTTGTCCGATAAGGGAATCGAACCCACGACCCCCGGTGCAACAGTCACCACTGAATCACCAGAAGACAGACTAACGAGGTCAAGCCCATTGTTTTCCATGACAATTACCCTCTACACACAAACACATATGCTAAGGCTGTCTGTAAGCTATTTAATTATGAACTTAGCCATTAATTAGTGTTCTTTGCGAAACTATCATTTGAAGTAAGTAATAAAAGCATAAACACTGGTGCTCTCACTTGAAAATTCCATTTCCTCGGTCTTCGTTCCCTCCTTCCCCCCTCGTCCGATTGTAAACGACACGTTGTCAGTTAATAAGCACGTAAATGAAAAGAATTAAAAACTCTATTAATTTTTTTCAAGAAGCGTATCTTCTTTATTTGCGACAAAATTTACAAGATCGCGTTCGAATACAACATTTTTGTCAGGCAATTCCTATCTCAACAGCACTTACGAACCATAGAAGTCACACTTCTGTCATATCAATAGATTTGCATGTGCGCTATTTGATTGTACGTCCTCGCAATTTCTTACAAGCATCATACATGTAATAAAACCCGATACCTACTATATATATATATATATACTCAGGTGAGAGGTGACTCGCAGATTGGTTATTTAATCGGATCACAGCTATTTGGTACTGCTGAAATGTACTCTTTGAATTGAGTTGCATTATTGCTTCATGCTATTACCCACTACCAGGTCTCTTGTGGTTGGTAATTGCATCAAAATATTCAGTGAACTTTGATATATCGTATGTTTTTTGCGCGAAAACCAGTTCCGAAAACCGGTTCAAAAAAAAGGGGTGTGACTGTGCTAGGGATACGGCCGTTTGTTGTACGTGAATACGTCTCGTAACGGGTAATAGTTTCTATATAAAATATTATTATTTATGTATGTCATAATCATAAGAAGTCCTCCGGGTATACATGTTTTGTTTATGATGGCAACTTTTTCATTTAATGGGTTCTATTTATCTGCGTAATTTCAAACATCCCAGCTGCAGATGTACTGGCACCGTCGTTGATCCGCTTGGCCACATTCATTACTTTACGTTGCCGGCACTGCTTGACTCGATCATATGGTGTTTTATTGGTACCATTCGATTGCTGTTGAGATGCCCTTTCCAACTGTATACGGTCTCTGTATTTCGATTTGGCTTTTCGACGCATATAGGCCGACATTATATTTTTTTTTGAGATTTTTTTTTTTATTTTAACACCTTATTATATGCACAGTTACAATTTTACACTAATGTTATATATATAATCGATAGCTTTTGACGAGAGCTGACGATTGAAACTTGAATGAAAGTCGTAGCTTTTTTTTATGATTGAAAGTTTACTGGTGACCCGAAGGCCTTTCCAGTTTCACCAGGACAGGTGGGCGAGCAAAGGCTCAGCCAAGAGGGGTGGGATTTGCTAACAACTGCCCGAGCGCCTCCGAAAGAGACCTAACAACTCAAGAGCAATTGTTTCGCGAATGAATCTACTACCGGATCGGAATCGCGACCCGCTGAGAAGATCCGGCGAGAAACTCAGCGGGCTAATGCATGGGTTAGGTTGCACGTCGACCTCTTTGTCGAGTTCGACGAGTACGGTTACCGGGGTCCCTAAGCCTGCCCCTAGTATTAGAGCTGAAGGCATCTAATGCAAAGGTTATTGGATCTGATGGATCCGTAAGGACGTGTCTAGGGCGTCGACGGTGACTGGCTCCTGCATGATCAGGATTCGGGGAGTAGTCAGCGGCGGCAACGATAAGGCGATTATCATGACGCATAGCCTTATCGAAGTATCGTTCCGACGCTGACTTCATGTATTTCCGAATTGATTCGAGGCCCAGGTCGTCGTGTAGGTCAACGTTCCTCACGAACCACGGAGCCCCGACAGCTAACCTGTAAAAGCGGGATTGTAGGAATTGGAGGGTGTCTATGTGTGTGCGGGCCGCGTGAGCGAACACCACACTCGCGTAAGTCATGACGGGCCTTATGCAAGTTTTGTAAAGTGTCACCTTGTTCCGAAGGGACATTTTACTCCGCTTACAGATCATGGGGGAAAGTCGTAGCTTCACCGAGTCGAAAGTTATACTAAATGGAAATCTCGATACGCAGCAAAATTACCTTCAAAATAGCGGGGCTGCCCCCTCCCCCGCGCGCGATGTGTTACAGTCCTTACTTAGCGTAATAAATTCTTTGATTTTTTAGCTATCCAGTAGTGTAACTGAAATTTGGATGGAGATGATAGATATGTAGCTACAACACTAAACTGTATCCCCCGATTTTGTTATCATTCGTTTTTTTGGATTGCGTCCCTATGGAAGTAATTTTAAAGACGTATTCACGTCAAAAACCAGTTGATTCCTTTTCCTTTGACGTCCTAATTCATCTGGGCCATCGCGTGAGTGGTCCCGCACTCGACAGCGTGGCCACTGTTTTCTGCAGCATTACGTATTCCGCCTTTGCCGAGGCGTCTGCTCTGTCTGAAAACAGCCTCTTTCTTCACAGCTTCGACGGAAAGGCATAGTAGTAAGTTCAACAAGTCTACACCGCAGTGGCTTTGTCCGAAAATACCTGCCTTTATACGCTAAAATAAAATAATTCCTAATTTTATTCTAGAGTTTAGATGCAAAATGTGTTTAAAGCAATAATAATGTCGCCGTGCTCTATTAATACAAGATTAAGGTCTCAATAATAAAGATCCATTGACTGTTCTCCTGTTTAACCCGAAACATGATCGCTTCCCACATAGAATGGTAATTATTAAAAAAAAAGGTAAAGCTTTTGGTAAATAGTCTGAAATACCTTTTGGAACCTCTGGGTCTGCGGAGGGACTTCGGTTCCCTCTGTATTTTGTACCGTATGTTCCATGGGGAGTGCTCTGAGAAATTGTTTGAGATGATACCAACATCTCGTTTTTACAATCGCACCGTCCGCCATCGGAGTAGAGTTCATCCATACTACCTGGAGCCTCTAACTGCGTTCATTCACAGTGCGTTTCCAGAAATTTTTTTGCCACGTAAAATCCGGCTTTGGAATGAGCTCCCCTCCACGGTGTTTTCCGAGCTCTATGGCATATACTTCTTCAAACGAGGATTGTGGAGGTTACTTAACGGTAGGCAGCGGCTTGGCTCTGCCCCTGGCATTGCTGAAGTCCATGGACAACGGTAACTACTCACAATCAGGTGGGCCGTATGCTCGTCTGCCTACAAGGGCAATAAAAAATAAATAATAAGGTTCTTCTGCAGATTGGTAAGTTGCTATGGGATTCAAGCAAGCTTTAAGCTCACTTCGTTCAGTAGTTAATAGAGTCCAGTTACGAAGAGTGCGATACTTTTTAGTAATTTATACCAATCACTGGTGATGATAGGTCTTGTGGTACCAACATCGATTCTTGTCATGAAACAGTAATGCCTTTATGGAGACATGTACTTTGTCTATGGGCTCCGGTAATCAATTAACATCAGGTGAGCCATAATCTAGTCCACCGAACGAACCAGGCTCGCCCTGAAAAAGCATCAATCGTTAGTGGCATCTAAGAAAAATGTATTATTGTGAACCTAGCAACTTAAGTTATTAATAGTGAATCCCACCTTCAGGCACCAAATCTAAGTCTGTAGTATACAAAAACGATCCCATCAAATCCGTTAAACGCTAAAGCATGATCCCTTCACGTCTGAAATAGGCAGAATAATGATGCGTAAATCGCCAGCAAAATACAAGATTTACTCCTAATATTATGTAAAGTATTGGAGCAACTGGTTCGACCCTTTGGCGTTGTAACCATCTAAAAAAAACACAGATATTCAAAATCTGTTAGCATTTTCGTTCGCACACTTAACTATTTGCGCGGAAAGACCAAATAACGTTTGTTGATACATCAGGGCTTCGTAAACATTGTGTACGTGCTTGCAACTAAGCTTGGCGTCTGCCGCGGTTCAGGTTTGAATACGGACAAAATCGGTTTTGGACCTTCGAATAGAAACAACCAGACAAACCCGTTGCTGACCAACTTTAAATCATTGGATAAAGTTGCAAATGTGAGTGTTCTTAAAACTTTTCATAAAAAGGAAGAGGTTATTAATTTGGCTGGATTTTTTGGTAACGCACCTCTGAACTTTTACTCTAGGTCAGAGTTCCCCACACTTTTTTGTGTCGTAGACCCCTTGCCATGTTTTTTCTGTGTTGGGTAGACCCCCTACTTACCTGATACTGATTTCCTGTAAATTTCGTGTTTTTATTATTTTTTATTATTTTTTTAATTTTAAGTTTAGTGTTAAAAACTTAAAGTAAAAACACATGTTAATTTTTACATTTATTAATTGAATTTAAATTAAAACTACTCTAAATAAAATTTTGTATCTGTTATGTAAAATATACGTAACATAAAATAAACTATAAATAAAATAACATAAGCAATAAGTCAATATTTTTAGTGAGAAGGATGAACCTGATGCTTTAATAATAAATTATCAACATTTGGAGTCAATTTTGTAAGGGTTAAACTTAAATCTCCTCGGCTAATGATGTTTTGATATTATAAAATAGTATGATGTTAGTAAATAGGTACTATCAGTGTATGTGTTGAGATCCACTATCGTGGACCCCCAAATTTTTTTTCGCTGATGAGGACCCCTTGCAGTTTGTCATAGACCCCTAGGGGTCGATATAGACCACTTTGGGAATCACACCACTCATCACTCATCTTTTTTAAGTCATTTTTCTTTTTATGTTGATGTTGTCTATTATGTTTGTATTGGTATTATTAGTCCTGCGAACCTGTCTCCGATGGCGTTCATATGAGACGTCAAAACTACTTGTTTAACTAAACGAACTAACTAGTTCTCAGAAAAAAAAAAACATCAAGCCAATTTTTTCATTGAAATCAACTAACCAATCTGACTGTTACAGTATTCATAACTTTTGAAAAGTCAAAAAACCACCATGATTTGCTTCCAATATTAATAGTTCGCAAAAGCCACTCGTAATGTCAACTATTAAAGTTTATATTTAGATATAACCAATCTAAGACCATAGTAGTTGCACGAATTGAAGTTAATCTGTTAGTGACCGATAAAAATAAGTGCGAAACGATCACCATTTGCGAAATAGAAACAAATTAATTTTAAAATAGTAATTTTAGTAATAATCTTAGTAGCAGTATTAGTTATCTTAGTCTTCTGTACTAGGAAGGTAGCATCATAAATTGTGAAAGTAAACGAATAGTTACTCACGTAATACTAATAAAATACCATTTTAGAACCATTTGAATTCAGGCTAATTTCGCTACAAGGCCGTAACATATCCGCGGCACAAGAGACGCACAATACTGATGCACTGTCTACAATATTGACACAAACATACGCTGACTAGAATGTATGATGGACAGTCGCGCACAAAAGTTTACTACTATCTTTTCTTAACTAATTTAATTCAATTCGAATATTTGAGGTTCACATTTTTATGTTTGAAATAAACATAATGTTTTATTACGTGACAAACTATCATTGACGAACGTTCATTAAGTTCCTCGGACTGGAATGCGAGATTTCCCGATACGATAGGCAAGACAAGAGATAGTAGAGCCCACAGAGTTTCTCGCCGGATCTTCTCAGTGGGTCACGTTTCCGATCCGGTGGTAGATTCTACGAAGCACTGCTGCACTGCTCTTGCTAAAGCCAGTATTAACAACACTCCGGTTTGAGCCCCGTGAGCTCACCTACACGTTAAGGTGAAGCTGAAATAGCCTCTCAAGGCTATCAGCATAGGTAGGGAAAAAAGTGAGTTCCTGAGAACTCAAATCTTATTATGAATGTCTAATTAATGAAATACGTCTTTCTGTTTCCAACACAGCTTCAGATTAAAATCTACCTTACATTTGCTGTGATCTCGCCTTTATGTAAACTATTAAAGCCCACATAAGGACGGAATAAGAATAAGGAACAAAACATTAAAATAATTACAGCATCAGGAAAGACCATTGGTAAATTACAAGTTCACGTAAAAAAAATGTTTTATTGCTTAGATGGATGGCCGAGCTCACAGCCCACCTGGTGTTAACTAGTTATTGGAGCCCATAGACATCTACGACGTAAATGCGCTACCCACCTTGAGATATAAGTTCTAAGGTCTCAAGTATAGTTACAACGGCTGCCCCACCCTTCAAACCGAAGCACATTACTGCTTCACGGCAGAAATAGGTAGAGTGGTGGTACCTACCCGTACGGACTCACAAGAGGTTCTACCACCAGTAAAAGATTTTTTACTGGTGGTAGGACCTAAGATTTTAAAGTGTTTTTTTAATTCACTTTTCATTATCTTACAGTATTAGATAGAGATTATTGTTAAGATAATTTTTTTTTTATTTTAACAGTTTTCTTATCGATAGTACAGAGTACACGTTGTTTGCTCTTCAAACGTCGTCAGGTTTGAGTCGCACAATAGAACGAGCTCTAGTCTAGGAGGCTTACGAGGTGCAGCACGGTCTGGGAGCTTTTCACACGTGCTGTAGCTCGAGCTTTTCTAAGCTATTTTTTTTTTGTTTACGCGGAATTAAATGGGCTAAGCATAACATTAGTTGAAGAGGCAGTAGAAATGATGTGGGGTTGTTGCGAAGTTTTCTAAGGGGTAATATCATGATGGAGTTTACTTTTATATGACATTACTTTTTATAAGGGATATCTGTTAAGGTTTAAATATAAGTAAATACGTATATATGTTGAAATATAGATATCTATATATGATAATAGTGTATTTAAAAGGTTTGCCTTTTAAAATATACACTATTATCCAAAAAGTATTTAATACCTATCAACAGTTCATACATCTTTTACGGTTTAATCTCAAATTAATAATTATCCTTTCATTATTGCCGGCGTTTCGATTACTTTACGGTCGGTATGCAGAGAGAGATAATTGTTTTTTAATAATTAAAAATTAAATAATTCCTTCATATTTCCTCGAAATTGCTCGAAATTGCGAAGCTTTATTCAAAATTTTTGTCAGAATTTCTCACGTGATCATTATAAAGCCCATATTTTTTGTCCGTTCAAACAACTTAACGAAACTTCCAGTGAAAACTTTACCAAAGCAAGCAATCAATAGCTTATACCCCAGCCCCGTTTTAAAAAAAGAAAACTAAAAAAAAAAGCCTTCATAAACAACGCTTTACGCCATCAAATATTCATGGTACGCAACCCGTTGAACTTGCGAAAAAAAGCCAAAGTTCAAAACAACCGGAAGTACGCAAATAGCTTTTCTTCGAGATGTGTACTTAATATTTGATGACCTCGGTTGTCTTGCAAAACTGGTTTTAATGTAAGACGTTCGGATGCTCACATTTAAGTTTTCACGACGTGTTTTTTGCCGTGGCAACGTCTTATAATTCGATAATGCAGCGTTACCTCGCTCTGAGGCGTTCCATTTAAGGCTTGAAGTGCAAGCGAGAGCGCGCAACGAGCGACAAAGAAGCACAATCGGCCTCCGCGTTCGGCAGCGTTCGACATCTGTCTCTCTCCTACTTGAGTGAGCGATGCATCCGCGTGGACAGCTGCTATACAATAATACATGTTTTCGTCAAGTATGAAGTTCAGTGAAAAGTGAATGTGGTGTCAATTGTTTATAGCAACGATAATTGCGGTAATTGAAAAATGAAACCATTCCATCGGTATTTTCTTATGACGTTGTCACGTTCAACTATCGTCAGTAAACCGACTTTACAGACAACCGATTTTTTTTCTACTTATTAGCTGGCAGCCTAAGGGGTTAAGGAGCTTTTCCAGTTTCTCGCGGATATAACGATGAATCCGTGTGTGTAACAAATGATTTTCATGAAATGTAGCATTGCGAGTAAAATGGCGTACTAATATCGAGCGACGATACCCGGGTTCAAATCCTAAAGTGGTAACCAATTTTTTTTTTTAAAGAAAAATAGCATCTCATAATTAACGCAAGTATTTTTTTTAACTTTATTTTTTAAATTTAATTTTTTCTTTTCCAATTATCTTTTAAACATAATATAAACTATACCATTTCACTTGTGCTAGAAATAAAATTCTTCATAAAGTAGGTACAAAAAAGCATTTGTTTTAGAAACAAAGTTATCAAATGTAAAAGAAATATAAAACAAAGAAAATTTTAATAAAAAGAAAACGTACTTGATCAATAAATAAATAGATCAACGATACTAGTTACTGTTTTACTGGTGGTGGGACGTTTTGTGAGTCCGCACGGGCAGGTACCACCACCCTGCCTATTTCTACCGTGAAGCAGTAATGCGTTTCGGTTTGAACGGTGAGGCAGCCGTTGTAACTATAGTGAGACCTTAGAACTTATATCTCTAGGTGGGTGGCGCATTTACGTTGTAGATGTCTATAGTCTCCAGTAACCACTTAACACCTGGTGGGCTATGAGCTTGTCTACCTATCTAAGCAATAAAAAACAAAACAAAAAAATAATAATAATATAATCAATGTGGTCGAAATCAATAAATATATGCATTATTGAGGATAGTCCAAAAACTACTGACCAAATCTTGTCATAATCATAATTAAAATTGTTTCACCTAGAAAAAAGTTCTAAGGTATAAAAAATGCTGGAGTCATGGTCCAGACGGCTGGCCGATCCTTCGGCTGGTCGTAGGACCGTCGAGGCGATTCGCCCGGTTCTTGTGAACTGGGTGAATCGTGACAGAGGACGCCTCACTTTCCGGCTCACGCAGGTGCTCACTGGGCATGGTTGCTTCGGTGAGTTCCTGCACCGGATCGGAGCCGAGCCGACGGCAGAGTGCCACCATTGTGGTTGCGACTTGGACACGGCGGAGCACACGCTCGTCGCCTGCCCCGCATGGGAGGGGTGGCGCCGTGTCCTCGTCGNTCCCGTTAATCTCCCGTAGGGACTGTTGGGTACTGGGTGCGGGGGCGCCCGGTGCTCTGCTGTCGGTTCCGTGGTGAGGCGGCGCAAGGTGGCTCCTATGCGCCACTCACGGTGTCTCCCGAGACGACGTCCTGCGGGATCTTCCCGGGGATTGGATCCCGTCCTATTGTCAGGATGGGTACCGGCGACGGCGAGCCTGCGGCGCGCATTGTGCGGTACCGTAGGTTTCGTGAAGTCGGAGTGGTGGAGCTCGATGGGGTTTAGTCGGTAGTCGGTTTTGCGGGGCGGGTCCTGCGTGGTAGACGCCGTGCAGCGCCTCGCGCGCCTTTCTCAAGGCGTAGTCTCCCGGTAGGAATTGGAAGAAGAGGAGGACTTTGGTCTTCCTCTTCTCCCTCTTCTTCTCTGGAGGCGCCGGAGTCCGACATAACCCGGTCTATTACCCCTCTCGACCGGGTATCCGTAAATGGATTCCCCAGCGTTAAAAAAAAGGTGGGTGGCGCATTTACGTTGTAGATGTCTATAGGCTCCAGTAACCACTTAACACCTGGTGGGCTATGAGCTTGTCCACCTATCGAAGCAATAAAAACAAAACAAAAAAAAATTATATAAAATCCATGTGGTCAAAATCAATAAATATATGGCATTATTGAGAATAGTCCAAAAACTACTGACCAAATCTTGTCATAATCATCATTAAAATTGTTTCACCTAGAAAAAAGTTCGGAGGTATAAAAAATAGAATTGAAAACTTCCTCCTTTTTTACGTCTGTTAAAAACTACTAAATCACTAACTGGCGCATCACAGAAATACATCTCAAGCGTTCTATTATTACGAATAAATGCGTAACACGCAAATATATTTTTCTCTATTTCATTATTTACGGCGAGCTAATTGAAATTTTCATACGTTTATACACAGCGCAGCGTACAGGTACGTATTCGGTGTGGAGCGATAAAGTAAAATTTGCATAGAAATAAACGAGAATTAATATTGCGTTCGTTCGGGACGTATTCAGGGGAAAATAATAATAATAATTTGGGATATCGGTGTCGTGAATGCGGCCCTTCGCATCAACAACTGGTGGTAGTTATGTTTGTCCTACTCACCAATGCTCAAATAATAATAAAGACAGAAAACGAAGCACTTAGTGAAAACATTCAAGAAGGCTGTTTCCTTAAATAACAATCGATGTACATAATATACATAATACCTTTTATTAGTATTAAAATCATCTTTTTTGTAATGTTTCAATTGTTAATACTGTAGTACGTTTATACTCTATATAAAAAAAAATCAGGGCTATAGCACTTTAAATTGTGATGTTATGAATGATAGACCTCTTGTGAGTCCGCGCGGGTGGGTACCACCGCCCTGCCTATTTCTGCCGTGAAGCAGTAATGCGTTTCGGTTTGAAGGGTGGGGCAGCCGTTGTAACTATACTGAGACCTTAGAACTTATATCTCAAGGTGGGTGGCGCATTTACGTTGTGGATGTCTATGGGCTTCAGTAACCACTTAACACCAGGTGGGCCGTGAGCTCGTCCATCAGACTAAGCAATAAAAAAAAAAAAATAGAGTAAAAAAATCGGGAATCCCGAATCATTATACGCGTTTTCCCAAAAGTTTGTGTTTTTGAAATAGGCCTTTTCATTACTAAGGGAGCAATATATATTAACGTTTGTTTTTTTATATTATTAGATATGAACATTACCTCATTACCGAGATTAGCGGTACACGCTACACACCAGCTGAATCACACACAATTTTTTTTAATTGCGTTGATGGATGGACGTGTTCACGGTCCACCTGGTGTTAAGTGGTTACCGGAGCCCATAGACATCTACAATGTAAGCCCACCTTGAGATATGAATTCTAAAGTCTCAGTATAGTTACAACGGCAAAATCTGAGAAAAGCCAAATCAAACAATTTTATCTCTCATCAACCGAATGATCATGGTTCTATACTCTTCGCATATACGAGTGTTACTGTGTTACTTGTAATATTTGCTATGTGTATGTGCTATAATTCTCATGTTGTATTTGTTATTTTAGTTATGTGTTATTTGTTCTACACACACTTATCACTTTTTATTATTATTCTCATTATCCTCTCGCAGGTCTGCTGGAGGAGATTTCTCAAAGAAATAAGCAGTGCCTTTGTACATAATTTTCCTATTACTCTGTACTGTGTCTTGTTTTCTGTGTGTACATAAATAAATAAATAAAAAAAATAAAATAACGGCTGTCCCACGAAAAATGAAGCTACCTATTTTACTTTATGTTGTTTTAGCATTGATTGTTACTCAATTCATTCACATCCTAAAAAATATGACATTTCCTCATATTCTTGAGCGCCTTTTAAATTTACGTACCATTAAACCAGAGAGCACAAACACTTCACCATAGACATAGAGCAGGTTCGTGTATATAGCGTCCCATGAAACATAACATAGTCTCTTTAATGCAGGTACAAGTGAGTTTAATTTCCTTTGGCTTTTCGCGGGATTCATATACACAATTAATATTAGTTTTACGATTTGATCTCGTGTTTTTTATTGTCATTATATTATTTCCAAGGTTCTGTATACAGTTTTCATTGACGACTGAATGAAATAATATATAGACAGTAACAAAACCCTGATTAAACAACAAGAGTAATATCAATTAGTTTTGTTATGAAAAATAGTAATATTTAACGAACCGTCCTGAGTGCGGACCTGTCGCGGATATTTATAGCGAAAATGGGGATGTTTCGTTTTTATAACAAAACACGTTCATTTTTTATTCGCGCCGTGTATATTTTTTCCGCAATATTAAGTCGTTTTATATATTTAAGTCACGTTTTATTTTACGCATTCCTTTAGTTGTGTAATCCCAGAAGCAATATTTAAATTGGCGTGTTCATTGTTGATTTTTTGGAACGAAGTTCCTTATCGCGCGTTGTGAACGGGGGCTAGACGGAAAAATTCTTACGAAAAGTTGTCACGACACTTTTTAGATCCGTCATTCTGACCAATCAACGTGTAGGCGCTTATCGCGTGACATTGCTCGTATCGGATTGGTCCGCGTAATGAGTACAGTTTCTCGAGATAGCGTTTCAACAATAGTAATTTAGTTCATAGTATTGTTTTTTTTCTTCTTCATAATGCCGTAATTTATTATTATAATTTAAAAAAAAAAATTACAATTCCTTCACTAATTAATCGAAAGGAACTTCGTTCCATCCGGGTGTCCCTTGACACCTCTGAAGTTTTTTTATGAGAATTTCAACAAGACGTCTTTGAAATGTAGCGTCAATTTAATAATAATGAAGTGCATTGATAATTTTTTTTTTCTTTTTATATAAATTATTTTTGAACCATTTCCTTACATTATAAGTAACATTATTGTCGGTACTTGAACCATTGTACCATCATGGTTCACTTGCGGACTAAATAATAATAATAACAATGGTTGGTTCGAAGTAAGTATCAGTTGAATGGAATAATCTAAATCTATTCAACTGATAATTATTTTTAATAAATGTATCTTTTTCATTTAATTGGTCTTGGTAATTTAAAGTATGTCTCAATGATACACATATGGACTTTTTGTTGTTGTCTGAAAAAAAATAAAAAAATAAAAAAATTAAATAAAAAAAAATAATTAATTAGTTTTCGTTATTCCGTTGCTTTGTCATATAGTTGTAAAGAACATTGTGTACAAACTAGCTCATTTGTCTTCTTTAACCGTGTGCACATGGCTTATGCTTCAAGCCAGATTTTTTGGATTTTTTGGTGGTTATTTATTGTGTATCTCTTTAACTAGTAATGGGTATGGTGTGTGTTCGCGCCGACGCTTGTGTCATCTGTATTTCAAAAAAACAAACTAATATTCAATAGACATATTTCATAGATTATAAACCACTTCGCCATTGCACTCACTCTACCCGATGATCTGCAGGCGAAGTAAAATGTCCCTTAGAAATAAGGTGACACTCTACAAAACTTGCATACGCCCCGTCATGACCTATGCAAGTGTAGTGTTCGCTAACGCGGCCCGCACTCACCTAAAATCATTTCAAATTATCCAATCCCGTTTTTGCAGGATAGCCGTCGGAGCCTCGTGGTTCGTCAGGAACGTCGACCTCCATGACGACCTGGTTTTTTTTTTTCCCTACCTATGCTGATAGCCTTGAGAGGCTATTTCAGCTTCGCCCTAACGTTAGTAGGTGAGCTCGCGGGGCTCAACCGGAGAGTTGCTAACACTGACCCTAGCAAGAGCAGTGCTTCGCAGAATCTACCACCGGATCGGAAACGCGACCCACTGAGAAGATCCGGCGAGAAACTCAGTGGGCTGTGTCTATGNAAACTTTAGCGCACAAAAATGGACTCCGAGACGCAAATCGCAAGCGACCAACGGATCGGCACGTCCGCACTACCGAATTGTACGCACGATGTATTCACGGTCACTACACTGTCGAGCACAACTGTGAGTTCAGAGACGCAGCTCGCAAGCGGGCCACGGATCGGAAAGCACGTCCGCGCACGACCGAGTCGTGAGCGAGAATGACGACCTGGACTTAGAGTCCACCAGTAAGTATATGCAGTTGGCGTCGATGCGCCACTTCGATAAAGCGGCACGACACGAAAACCCTCTCATCGTGGCCGCCGGTAACTACATTCCCGATCCTGCGGACAGAATGGAAAGCAGTCGACGTCGCCCAAAACACGTCATCTCGGATCCTCCCGATCCACTAACGGTGCTTCTAGGTACTTCAAGCACCACTCACCGTTCTCGTCGAACCCGTCGCTTGCGACGAAGGGCTCGACGAGTAAATTAACTCTCAGACACAGCCCACTGAGTTTCTCGCCGGATCTTCTCAGTGGGTCGCGTTTCCGATCCGGTGGTAGATTCTGCGAAGCACGGCTCTTGCTAGGGTTCGTATTAGCAACTTCATCAGGTGTGAGCCCCGTGAGCTCACCTACTAGTTAGGGTTACGCTGGAATAGCCTCTCAAGACTACCAGCTTAGGAAGGAAAAAAAAAAAAAAAAAAAAAACATTGCAATCAGGCACGCACGCACGTCACATAAAATAAAACAATCGATCATAAATTCAGAGTTTAATTTTACATAAATTAAATTCCAAATGTCCATACGAGACAGTGTGCCTAATAAATAATAATGAAATCCGAAATTAGGAGATTCCAGAGATATACCCACGTTAAAGGGCTCCCCTGCGCTGTGGTCCGATGCAAATCCCAGACTGAACTTGGGAGAGATAGCAAGGGTGCCTAAGGTACTATAAGGATACCAGGCTGATGGAATCGTCGCAAAAAAACTTAATTCAAGTGAATTTTATTTAAAAAGCATGGAATTCTATTTCACGTGATTTCTTTTCATGTTTTCACTACATTTGTATACTTTCCATCAATACTGGTATTGGTTTTCATAAATATGGATACAGAGTAACCTATTAATTCGATAGAGGTTTATTTTTGTTTAACCGCTTCACAGGAGAAATATTTGTCGCGATTCCAATCCGCTAGTAGATTCATTCGCGAAGCAGCTGCTCTTGAGTTGTTAGGTCTCCTTCGGAGGCGCTCGGGCAGCTGTTAGCAAATCCCACTCCTCCTAGCTGAGCCTTTGCTCGCTCACCTTTCCTGGTGAAACTGGAAAGGCCTCCGGGCCACCAGTAAATCTTCAATCATAAAAAAAAATACATGTGTGCAATTCACACGTGGTAGAAGTGAAACCTTCCAAAATTAAAATACAATTATCCTAAACGTCTTAAGTATATGTAAAATTTTGTCATTAGTAAATAATTGTAAGGTAGCGCCCTCTGTGAATTGATATTTTAATTTCACGTATAATCCTAAATTAAAATTCACTACAAGAGCTTTCATACNCCTAAACGTCTTAAGTATATGTAAAATTTTGTCATTAGTAAATAATTGTAAGGTAGCGCCCTCTGTGAATTGATATTTTAATTTCACGTATAATCCTAAATTAAAATTCACTACAAGAGCTTTCATACACACGTTAGTATTAAAAAAATCTCACAGATGGCGCTGTATTAAATAGTATGTATATTTCTGTCTCATTCTTTTGTATTTGTGTCTGTCGTTTTTTCCGTTGCATCCGGTTTGAAATCACAACGATTCTAAAGAAGTTTTCACTTCAAAAAAGAAAAAAGAATCCTACAAGTGAGCACCTATCCGTGCTGGTTGATATTACGCGCTACGCTACAGTAATTATACAAATTAAAGATTTAAATAATTACATTTAACCGCAAAACATTTACAATTACAAGTTATTACGTTTTGTGGTTAAATCAACATACCCGCGAAACTTCCTCGCAACAAAACAATATAACAACTATTTACGACAACAATTACAAATTCATAACTCGCAAAAGACTAAAGAATATTAAGCTTTAAAAGTTTAAAAATTAACTTCCCCCCGGTTTTTTCAACAACATAATAAATAACATAATTTCTCCCTTAATAGGTCTAAACCCTTTCCGGCAATACACTGCTCTAATCTTGGCTCTCTCAATTATTCAGTCGTTTCTAACGGTTCAGTAATTTGTTAAGGCTTTTTTTTTTTTGTTTCAGTCCGTTTGACTGATGTTATTTTAAGTAGAAACTTTGTTTTTTAATACGCTTTTATTAGCTTCAGACGTATGTAAGTTTGTAACGGAATTTTGAACATGATTTTGACCCCCTTCAAAACGTCGGATTAACTCGAAATTTGGTATACTTATTAAGGACCGATGACAATTAAATATTGAAAAAAAAATTAAAAACAAAAAATTAAAAAAATTGAAATACCACTAAAAAATAAAATTAATAATTTGGGGTGCATGGTATCAGTAGTTATAAATATTTTATGAACAGATATGAGTAGAAGGGTTATTTTGATAATATCCTGAAAAGCACCCCACGCTTTTTTTACAATAAAATCTTTTTTTCTTACACTATTTTTAATTCAAATTTATTAAAACATTTTTTGGATGGATATATGGATTTTCTATAAAAGCGTATTTTTTTAGTTTTTTTAAACTATTATTTATTAATGTTTTAAATCATGACAACGGTCATTTGCTTTTTTATGAACCCCTTTCGCTTCAGTTTGCCTTGACAATGGAATGTGACGATTACGGGAAATCTTAGTGAAAATGTAAAACAGGTATAGACGATAACTCATCTACTTTGGTACAGGAGTCGCCAAAGGAGATAGCTGAAGTAATAGATTTTCAGCCTATCTGTGGCCTAAGACACGACTGCTTTGGACCTTAAGAGGTTTACTGGTGGTAGGATCTCTTGTGAGTCCGCGCGGGTAGGTACCACCACCCTGCCTATTTCTGCCGTGTAGCAGTAATGCGTTTCGGTTTGAAGGGTCGGGCAGCCGTTGTAACTATACTTAAGACCTTAGAACTTATATCTCAAGGTGGGTGGCGCATTTACGCTATAGATGTCTATGGGCTCCAGTAACCACTTAACACCAGGTGGGCTGTGAGCTCGTCCACCCATCTTATCAATAAAAAAAAAAAAAAGAATGGGTATTGTACTTTTAAATTTCCTAAGACGCGTCCACATGAGAATTGACAAACACGTAGACGATATTCCTTAACCAATGTACCGAAATTAACTCCTCGCGGAAACTGAGCCCGGAACATAAAACTTTATTTCAAAACTTTCACTCGTAAACAAATTCGTGAAGGCCTATAAAGATAAAAGTTTACAAAAAATTTCCCTTCATAAAAAATCTTAATGATGTTATTCATTCTTTTAACCCGGCCATGGGTAAATAAATATCGGCTCGGTGCAGATGCACTAAAAATTTACTAAACGTGCACTAAACATACAGATGCACTAAAAATTTACTAAACGTACACTAAACATACAGATGCACTAAAAATTTACTAAACGTGCACTAAACATACAGATGCACTAAAAATTTACTAAACGTGCGCTAAACATACAGATGCACCAAAAATTTACTAAACGTGCACTAAACATACAGATGCACTAAACATTTACTAAGCGTGCACTAAACATGCAGTTTCCAGTCATCGTTCTCGTCGAACCCGTCCTTTACGACGAAGAGCTCGGCGAGTAAACTAACCCGCATACACAGCCCACTGAGTTTCTCGCCGGATCTTCTCAGTGGGTCGCGTTTCGGATCCAGCGGTAGATTCTGCGAAGCACTGATCTTGCCAGGGCCAGTGTTAGCAACATCTCCTAGTTTGAATCTCGTGAGCTCACCGAAGCGTTAGGGTAACGCTGATATAGCCTCTAAATCAGCTTAGATAGGAAAAAAAACTGCACTAAAAATTTTGAACTTGCCGAGAAAAGTAGGAAATCAGGTAGCTAAAGTTTGAGTTTCAAGGTGGGCAGCGGGACTTAGATCTACTAAAAATGCTATTAAAAAAACACACGCTTTGTTAATTCACCTTAAACAAACAAGTCTCATTAATTACAAACTTCACAAAATAAATGGAGCTTTAAAGCTCTAAAGTGAATTGTTAAAATTTTCATTTCTCTTTGCCTGGAGATCCTATTATATTGTTTGCGGTTGGAGGTTAGAAATCGAAAGCCAGGATTTTATTGGGAATTTAAACTTGTCAAAAGCTAACCGTTTACTTTTTAATAACTAAGCGAGAGACGGACCAGTTCACGTGCTGTTGATCATAGAGTCCATAGACATCAACGTGAATACCAATACTCATAATAAGAAAATTGACATTGAAGTCACTGGTATGATAGTTCTTAATAGTGTTACGCCGGTAAGAGTAACGCCATCTATCGCTGAATAGTTTGACGAATATCGAAGGATCTAGTAGCACCTAGAACGCTTAAGAAGTACAACGCCATCTATTGTCAGATAGTGGAAACACAATACTAGCAATGTGTGGAATATTCT